GATGGACACTTAGGCTCTTTCCATGTTTTAGCTATTGTGGAGAGTGCTGCTATGAACATTGGGGTACATGTGCTCCTATGCCTCAGCATTTCTGTATCCCTTGGGTTAATTCCTAGCAGTGCTATTGCTGGGTCATAGGGGAGTTCTATTGTTAGTTTCCTGAGGAACCTCCACACTGTTTTCCAGAGGGGCTGTACCAGTTTACATCCCCACCAACAGTGTAGGAGGGTGCCCGTTGAGGAGAAGCAAGTTTCATCAGAGTCCATGAACACAGGATTCTTGGGAGATTAAAATAGACATAATCATGTTTTTAAAGATGGCGCGTTTTGGCCTCCCAGATACACACCTTCTATCTTCTTCTGGGACCCACCCCCTCTCTTCTCCATCCATATGGCTCCTGTGGGAACTGCCATGACCACAAATGACTGGGGTAGAACTTGAGCCCACCTGGGCAAGATGTCCCTTCCTAGGATTTTTTTTTTTCCTTGACACCAGTGAAACCAGTCAGCCTTGGTACAAATGCAGGTGGTGTGCTGGTTTTCTGTCCTCTGGGGCACCGGCCTCCAGCAGGGAGATGAAAGCCACATGTGGGGGCCACACAGGCTGGATGGGGTCTGGCCTGGCTGCGTTTGGGCGCCTGGTTCCGTGGCTGCTCGGGCTTACTGTAGACCTCTGCCTTCATCCTGGGGATGCGGCTCCGGCGTGTGTAAGATCCTTCCAGCAAGGCCCCTTTTTGTTCAAGCTATGTGCGTATGATTCTGTCTAATTTCAGCTAAGGGTCTTAACACATAGAACTATCTGCAGAAATATACCCCGAACTGTTTGCAGTAGTGTCCTTTCCAGTGAAGATCCTAGCATGGAGAAATTTATGTAATGCTTGGATTTTAATTATGTATTTTTACAATGCTCATGAAATTCTTTGGAAACCAGGAAGTCTTAAAAACAAACAGCATTTCAGGTCTCTACCTAGTTTTCATAGAACCTAAAAGATAAATGGCAGGGACATTTGAATAGGAAGCCTGAGCACCGTGTTGTCATGTTAGGGAATGTGTCTGAGCTAGACTTCAGAACTTGCTAGCACTTCTAAGCATTAATCTCAAGGACTTTGGATGGATTCTCCTGATACTTGGGATGGGGAAACAACTTTCTTTTCAGGGGGACGTGAAGATTATGATTACAACAGCCAGATCTGGTGTCTTACTCCCGGAAGCTTACTCATGGTGGTGAATCACACGTTTCCTAATGGAGTAGCCATTCCAATCCTATTCATCCTTTCAATGGACAGGGTCAAACTGTCATCAACCTCCCTCTCTGCTCCAGTGAGACTTCATCTAAGAAGATTAGCTTAGGGGCGCCTGGGTGGCTTAGTCGGTTAAGCGTCCGACTTTCGCTTAGGTCATGATCTCGCGGTTCGTGGGTTCGAGCCCCGCGTCGGGCTCTGTGCTGACTGCCGCTCAGAGCCTGAAGCTTGTTTCAGTCTGTGACTCCCTCTCTCTCTGACCCTCCCCTGCTCGCGCTCTCTCTCTCCCTCTCTCTCTCTCCTAGAAAAAAAAAATATATTTAAAAAAAAAAAAAAAAAAGATTAACTTAGAAGGTGAAAGCTGGGCATTGTGAGCTCCACTGCCCTTATTCCAATCTGGGGGTGTGTGGTCAGCCTGGTGGGACCCTGATTCCCAGGAGGTGTCCAGTGGCTCACCCACAAGGCTGCAGTCACCGGTCTCCCACAGCGCCCCGTGATCCCTACCCGATGGCAGGACAAAAGGGACTCAGCTCTAGTTTCCATGAGGGCAGATCTGCTGAGGCTTCCTGTCATGGCCACAAGTCCTTTTGTAGATTTAGATCGATAGTGTGTCCGCAGAATGAAGTGAAATTGTGATGCTTGACAGAAAGGGTGGGCTTGATTAAGGATTCCCTATTCCTACTTAACCAAGTTAGTCCACTGGCTCCTCTGTTGTGAGAGGCTGATAAAGGTATCCAGGCAATCAACATTACCTACTCAGTGCACTGAGATAATTATAACTTCGGAGGAGGCTATGCTATGGCTGTATTTTTCAAGAGTGAAAGAGCGGTGTCTCTGGGCTCCTGCCAATAATCAACTGAGAGGCTGGCTACCATTTCTATTCTCCTTGCTGGTAACTGCTCTTCTGCTGTTCCGTTCCCAAACCATGACCCTCCTGTCATCAGGAGCTGTTCGCCTGCTGCCAGCAAGGCATCTCGGGACTGGACACTCAGCATTCCTTTCCTGAGACCTTGAGAAACAGCTGACCGACACTCTGAGTAGAATTCTCTGTGCCAGTTGGTTATAGAGCGAAGAAAGAGGACGACTCCCTTTCTTTCTCCCACAAACCTGACGGGGGGTGGGGGGGGGGGAGATGTCTGAGCTGGAACAGCAAGATGTACACACAGAATTAATCACTGTAATTATAAAAAGGGTTGGTGGTTTGGGACTTTTTTTTCAGAACTCTCATTTAGTATAAAGCCGTCTGGTTGTGTCACGACCACAGAATGTGGTATGCCACACAAATGGCTTGTGTGTGGTTCTTTGTACCCACCCTGGCTGTTCTGAGTTGGGAGGGAGCGTGGAAGTGAATTTTTTTTTTTTTTTTATAAAGCTTCTATATCTTTTTTTTTTTTAATTTTCTTTTTAATGTTTTATTTATTTCCAGGAGAGAGAGAGAGAGAGACAGCGTGAGCAGGGGAGGGTCAGAGAGAGAGGGAGTCACAGACTGAAACAGGCTCCAGGCTCTGAGCTGGCAGTCAGCACAGAGCCCGACGCGGGGCTCGAACCCACGAACCGCGAGATCATGACCTAAGCGAAAGTCGGACGCTTAACCGACTAAGCCACCCAGGCGCCCCATGGAAGTGAATTTTTAAGGAAGGCAATTGAGTGAAATCTGAACTAAAGTCTTCTGTATTTTGATAGAAGACCTATTTGAGAGTGAAATTAGTTCAAGGGCCATTCTTTTGTGAGGTCAACCTTAAAAATAAAGACCATGTCCCAAATTGATCTCAATTCGAGTGAGTTACTAGATCACCAAAAATGAAATTTCTCCCAGAAAACTGTCTTAGAATCAAGGCTCATCTATACATTAAAGTATTTCTAACAATGTTCATAACCAGGATCCCCACTAAATAGATGGTGAGAGTTGTTACTGCTGACTGACCCCAAATGTATCCCTGATTTGAATGAAAACAAAATTATTTTGGGGATGGGGAAGTGTGAGCAAAATATCCGTAACATGCCCATTATAAGCTACTGAAACAGCATATATTCCCTCAACTTGCTTCTAGATTTACTATTTCAACAGTATCGCTGATGGGGCACCTCTCAGTCGGTTAAGCGTCCGACTTCAGCTCAGATCATGATCTCGCGGTTTGTGGGTTCGAGCCCCATGTCGGGTCCTGTGCTGGCAGTTCAGAGCCTGGAGCCTGTTTCAGATTCTGTGTCTCCCTCTCTCTGCTCCTCCCCTGCTCACACTCTGTCTCTGTCTCAAAAATAAATAAACTATTAAAAAAAAAATCCAGAGTATCGCTGACAACATGAGGTCTACATTTCTATTTTAAATGAACATGGAAATTATAGATCATGCACATCTGGAAAAGTCATTAAGAAGAGCATCTGCTTGCCGTGTTAAAACAGAAGAAAGTGGTTTTAAGAAAAAAAATTAGAATCTGTGTTTCACTGAATAAGACAATCGGTGCTGGAGTCAAAAGGAAATAATTCCCTTGAGTTTGTGGGCACCTGGCCAGCTATGTTGTTGGGAATGTCCCCTCTTCTAAGGCACCAGGTCTGGGATAGGTAAATAGATGCACTCAGACAGATGGCTGGGTCCTGCCAGTGGGAAGGGAGATGGGAACATTAGGCTGCTTTCAGGCACCAAGGAAACATCAGTAGTTCTCCTTTGGTGCTTGAGACTCAATCCACTCTTATGTGATTCTTGTCACTTAATTTGCAAGTACACACTGTTTTCTTAATGTCATGACATTCAACCCGGTATAGTGGAGAGAATAATACATTTGATGCCAAAGTCCTGGGTCCCAATCCTGATTTCCCTCTATCAGCCCTGAGCCTTATCTAGGCAAGTCACTTAGAGATCTCTGAGCCAAGGCTTTCTCACCTGTGTGAGTGGGTAAGTCACCCTTCCTGTCTTTTATGATTTGGCTACCACATGAGAATCTCTAACAAAGTACTTTCTAGGCTGAGAACTGATATATAAAGGGAAGGCATTCATGGTTTTAAGGCTTCTGTGGTAAGAAATGAGAAGATCACTAGAAAAGGCTTCATTCTGATCCTCGACCTTCCTCCCAAAGAATTCAATGGCTTCAGCAAATTATGCTTAGCAAGGTCTTCACAACTTTCCTCTCCATATTTTTCATGTACCCACTTCAGTTCTTGATTCACAGACACTGAACTTGAACTCAGGTTCATGACTGTGTGTCTGCTAAGTACCTGCTATGAATATGGTATCACTCTGTGAAGCAAAAGAGATGGGAAAAGAGGAGGCTATTGCCCAAGAAGAGCTTACAAAGGGCAGAGACCCAAGAGGAAGAAGGGAGAGAATGGAGCCTAGAAATAAGACGCAGTTTGAGTCGTGGGTGCTTAGGGACCATTTGCAGCAAATGGGCCTTAAGCTACCCCCAAATACTCTTGGAAATCAAGAACTATGAAGAAATGGAAACGGAACAAAATGGGAGAGAGGGAACCAGACAGAAAGGTAGGTTTGGGTTCCATCTTCACGTTACTCTTTCTGGAGCAACTCTCCCCTTCTCTCCAGGCTGTGGTTCCCATGCTGGCCACAGGACAAGGCCCTTTCCAGCTCTCCCGTGCTGAGTCACTGACTCCCCGACTCCCCAGATGGGGCAGGCTGCAAGCAGTGGGGAGAATTCTGCCCTCACCCAAGCCTCACCGTCTCTGAGAGCTGGGTCACCACACATCAAGCCTAGTGAGCAGACCACACATGGACACACGGCCATCTCATGGCGGAAGGGCCGCGGATTACCTGGTGTGGCTGTTGGAAGAGAGGCTCTCCCAGGGCTGCGCACTGCAGCCGGCCACGGCAAAGGCGCCCCCGCAGCTGCCATCCAGCTTCATGAGCAGGGCCTTGGCGGCATTCTCAGCTGTTTTCCGGCAGTCGTGAGCGCGCTGGAGCATCTGAGTGATGTTGTCATCCCCTGACTGGTCTCCTAAGTCACAAAGAAGCCAAAGAAAGGATCAGTCAACCAGGTCAACGTGAACCACGTCTGGGAGCGAGCTTGGATCATCAGTTCTCAGTTACTCAGGGCAGAGGTGGAGAGAAATTAGCAGTGGATGGCCAGGGAAGTGATCCACATGCTGGGCTGGGCTTCATCACTTAGAAACTGGACTTAGCATGGCATGTCTCTACTCTAAGCTCCACTGTCCGCATTGATGAAGGGTTGGCCAGTGTGATCTCTGAGGTCTGTCTCAAGCTCTAACATGCTATGATTTTCTAATTATGCAGGCTCCTGACTTCTCCCACTCAGTTGTAATCTACTGCCTGGCCATTCTTTCCTGCGTTAGCACTTCCTTGTGAATGAGGCCCAACTGTACCCTCCACATAACCAGAACTTTGCTTAGAGCTCTGTGTAGGGTAGAGACACAAACTAATAGTTTAAATGAGAACTTCAGACTGGCAGTGTATTTTCTGTACCAGTGCTATCCCTTTCTCTCAGCTTGGGCACCGTCAGTGGCGAGCCCAAATGTCTCCAGGAGTCAGGTAACTGTGCCGGAGCAAGACCTCATGAGTGGTGGGCACCAACACAGAACCAGACAGCACATTTCCCACATAAAATGGACACATTCTTGTTGTGTCTTATAAACCATACTGGCCAAACAAGTCACCAGTTTGCTACCTCTGCAGCCTAGATCCCTAGTCTTTCAAATATTTTCAAATGAAATTATATACCAAAGCCTAAGATACAAAAATGGTAAATGCAGAACCACTTGAAGTGGGCAAGGGTGGAGGTCATACATTCAGCTTCTCCCCCATTCTCCAAGCCCACCGCTGAAGCCCAAAGATACTCTTCCAGCTTCCCAGAGCCTAGTTTGAAGACTACTGGTCTAAATCATCTAGAATGAATGTAATGAATGCCTGTGTAGTCAAAAAACAAAAACAAAAAGACAGAAAAAGGGGCACCTGGGTGGCGCAGTCGGTTTAGCGATCAACTCTTGATTTTGGCTCAGGTCATGATCTCACGATTCATGGGATCGAGTCCCATGTTGGGCTCTATCCTGAACCTGGAGCCTGCCTCCTTCAGCTTCTCTCTCTCCCCCTCTCCCCTTCCCCTTCATGAGCGTGAACATGGTCCCTCTCTGTCAAAAATAAACTATATATATAAAAAAAAAAGAAACAGAAAAACCAGTGACTGGTACTATGGGTAAATGTCATAAAACAGTGCATGCTCTGCTGTGCAACTATATGGCCCATTGGAGCAGAATGCAGGTCAGCTGCTGCCATCAGCAGAATGTAGGGGGAATTTAATAGGGAACCGCTCACAATAAGCCAACTCACAGCTTTAAGGAGAGTGCAGAGGAAGCAGGGGTGCATATGTCCTGCAGGGCTAAGCTTCCCTGGACTCCCACTCTGGCCACTTCTCTGATAACATTCATGCTTCTTTTCCTTCCACAAATGAGATATATATATCTCATCAACTGACTGCTCTTTGAATTCTGTTCTGAAGTAGGCATGATATTACTGACTGGCTCATTTTATAAATATATCATGAGCTACCCAGGATTATGTTAATACAAAGCATTTCATTATTGATTTTAAGTATTTTAAATGCAGATTTGTATAAGCCCTTCCAGCTCTTACCAAGTAACTGTGCCAAGTAGATACAAGCCTAATAAAAGGTACCTTTCCAGGACAGGATCTTCTGATGATACAAACTGGAACTAAGAGGATTGATTTCTTTTCCCTTTAATTGATAGTTTTCCTTAATACATATATTAAAAAAAAAAAAAAAAGAAAAAGAACATTTGACAGCAGGCCAAGATCATTTTAGGATCAGTTTAATATGAGGTATAAAGTTTTATGGTTTAGTGAAAAGACCCTGAAAAATGAGGTTTCTAATGGAAATGCTGGCAGAGTTTCTGCTTCTCGGCTGGGATGTTAATACTATTTAAAAAAAAAAAATGGGGAGAGGAAAGGAAGGTGGCCACCCATACAAATGCTCCCTTGCCTGGCAACTTGGATTTAAAGCAGGAAATTAATGCCCAGGATACTTCCTTTCCTTCAGATTTACTTCAGATTCCTGGACAGGTCAAAACTGAAGGGGGAAGAGCCTGTGAGTATTCAGTGCAAATGTTAGACCCCACACGAGGGGGAGGCTGGTGAGAATGTCAGGGTGGGGGTGGGGACACACTTGGGAGGCGCCATGATGCCGACCTTCTCTGCTAGCTGTATCCTGGAGGGATGACTCTCCCGAAGGCTCCCAGTCCTTGCCCAGAAGCCAGTCCTTGACCGATGGCCTAGTTTCTGAAGCTGAGGACTCCTGGCTTGCCCACTCCACCCATGTTTGGCTCTGCCATTAAACAGTGTCCTGGTTACCTGCTGTTTGCTTCTCCCAAGGAGCTGCTACCATAAAGTGCAGGCTGAGGTAGCGTCCAGGTCTCAGCGCTGAAATACAGCAACATTCTCCCTTGATCTCTCTTTCCTCTCAAGCACTATTTCCACTGTGTCCTCCTCACATTACTGCAAGGCCCAGAGCCATGATCATGGGCCAAGTTTTAGCAAATGTTGCTAACCAGGATGCCACATTTGGCTTTTTTCAATTATATATCCCTTCCTGTGACTCAAAAATGAGGGGTACTCGTGGGGGGTACTGCAGATCTAGAGGGACAGATTGGGACAACAGAACACGTGACCCCGGGGTGGGGGAGGTGAGTGGGTCAGCGGACACTTCTGCTACCCCACAGGGCTGGACTCCAGGGACAGCCATCTGAAGCAGACGGCAGGGAGTGAAACTATTTCCTCTCCGTTCACAAGGCACCTGGAGACGAGGTAGGGGGCACCCAGAAGAACTACCCAGAAGAACAAACCTGGGGGAAAAGCACAGCCAACAGAAGCCATGAGTTGCAGCAAAGGCCACGTGGGCCGCAAAGGGACCCTTAACAGTCAGTATCACAGAGAGAGGCTGTGGGAAAGTTGGTCTCTTTCGTCATAAGCTGTGGGCCTCCTGCTCCATCTGGTCCTCCCGTTGGCCTGGGAGAGTGTTTCCTAAGAGGGCCTGTTTGTTTTAACTTGTCTGTAATTCTGTTTCCACTCCAGTTCTTGCTGCATTCAACATAAACAATTTACTCACTCAGTCATGAGGAAAAAACGAAAAACACACTTGACAAGCACATTTCATGTTGTCGGGAGGTGTTCCAATGCCAACAGCAAAATGAGGGCACCGTAGAGCCAGAGAGGCAGGGGACAAGAAGGAAGAGGGAGGGAGACACACTTACCAGGGGAGGACCCCACGCCGGCTGCCCGGAACTGCCCCAGGATGAGGCTCTGCTCGCTCTCGGCCAGTGCCAGGAGGAGTTCATAGGCTTCTATGCACTGTTCGCTGAAACAGAAGCACACGGTGTCGTCAACGCTGGCAGGGGACAGTGAGCCTCTTCAGTGCAGCACTGTCCCCTGAGGGGGCGTGGCTCCAGACCTGCATCTCAGCCTTGCAGTCCATATAAGCAAGGAAATATCCAGATGTCCCTGCATAAAGCCAAGGGTGTGCTTTGCTATGTTGCCCCCCATCCCCTTTTTACCTCACTTAAACTTTTAGTTTAAGCTGGGATCTAGAAAAATACAAGTGTAGCCATAAAAGTGAGAGAGTTAAGTTTACTGCTTCTTTGACAATCAGCAAAAAAGGAAATGGAATATGCCTGTGGTAGCCAGCCCCCAAGATGGCCTCCACTGCTCCCAGATGCTGGTGTCCACACCCTTCTGTCATCCCCTTGTGCACTGTACCAGAGTTTGTCTATGTGACTAAGAGGATACGGGATCACTTCCAAAATCAGGTTACTAGAAAGCATGGTGACTTCCACCTTTTCTCTACCGTCACCTTCTCTCTTGGATCATCCTCTCTAGAGAAGGCCAGCTGCCATGGCTTGAAGATTCTCGAGCAGCCCCATGGAGAGACCCATGTAGTGAGGAAGTAAGACTTCCAGCCAAGAGTGAGTAAAGGATGGAGGACTCCACCAGACAGCTGTGTGAATGAGCCTTCTTAGAAGCAGATCTGCCAGCTCCAGTTAAGGTTTCAGATGACACAGCCCTGGCTAACAGCTTGAGCAGAACCTCCTAAGAGCCCCTGAGCTGGAACACTACCTAGCTACACCACTCCCAGCTTCCTGATCCTAGAAACTGTGCCATAAGAAACAGTACCGAAGGAAAGGAGGGAGGGAGGGAGGAAGTTCCAGAAAGAAGACTATTTTGACCTAAACCTTCAGGAGCCACTAGCCACATGTGGCTAATTAAAAAAGAATTTAATTAAATGAAAAATTTAGTTCCTTTGTTGCAACAGCCACATACTATATGTTTAAGAGTCACATGTGCCTAGAAGTTACCATACTGGACAACACAGATAGACAACAGGTCCATCATCACAGAAAGTTCTATTAGACACTTGTAAAACTGCCCCTTGAAACACACAAAATCTAACAAGTTTGGATTTCTAAGAGGAAAATATTAGTCTCTCTTCTTTTGCTTGTCATCATTGAACACACCAGGTATAGGATCTAAGAGTGACCCCTTCCACACTGCCACCCGTGACCCACGTGGACCCATGCTTGCCCAGGAGGTGGAGCGTGTGCATAATGCCTGAGTAGCCCTGGACAGGATGCCTGCAGTCCAGAAATCTCCCCGCTAAGCAAATAACCGATTGGCTTCTCTAAGCTAAGCAGGGGAAATGTTGCTTTATTCAACATTTAGTCAACAGACCCTCTCTTTTTCGATTTTCTCTACTCTCATCTTCCTTCACTAAGAGATCAGGAGCCATCACCAGCTCCGGGTGCCGGCAGCCCCTCCTCTCAAGGGCAGTCCATCTTTCAGGTTAGAGACACGGCGACATTGCTTCATCCACACAGATCAAAGGCAGATTGTGGCTACAAAACAGCCTGTTTCAAAAGTTATTATAGGTGGTTTATCTGTTTGCTTTGGTGTGTCTGTACACTAGCATGATTGTGCTCTAGCTGTGGTCTCCTTTGATTTGGTTTGATTTTGATTTTTGAAGATACAAAGCTTCTTAAAACATATTGATCTTTTCAGAGGATGCTAAGAGCAGGTTACAGTCCCTACTCTGAGATCTTAGCAAATATGTCCAAGTGGTGCCACTAATGAAATAACCCTCTGAAAACAATAATGCAAAGCTTTGTAGTTAGTAAACAAATAGTAATTTAAAAACAAATTCCAGGGCACCTGTGTGGCTCAGTCGGTTAAGTGTCCAAGTCTTGGTTTTGGCTCAGGTCATGATCTCACGGTTTGTGAGTTGGAGCCCCAAATCGGGTTTCCCACTGCTTGGGATTTTTCTCTCTCTCTTCCCCTTCCTCTCTCAAAATAAATAATCTTAAAAAATAAATTTAAAAGTAGATAAATTCCAAAGCTGATGAGGCTGAAAAAAACTGGTACATTCATATACCCCTGCTCACTGATGAATGAATTGTAATCACTTAAACTTTTTTTTTTATAGGGAAAAAACCAGGAGCATGCCTGAAGAACCATGATAACATTCATATACTTTGACCTATAATTCTTGGGGATTTTATCCCAAGAAAAATATCCAAAGGAATGAAGATATTATCTGTATTAAATTATTTGTTATAAAATTATTTTCAATATCCAAAGTCTACAAAAATCTAAACGTCTTTTAGAGAAATGAGTAAATAAAATAACAATATATAAACTTGATGCAGGGGATACAGCCATTCAAAATGCACACAGACTATTGACCAGCATTACAAAACTACTACAGATGGAATAAAGAGAATATCCTAGGTTTTAACAATATAAAATATACACAAACATGAATAAAGACTGGAAAGAGCAACAAATGAATATATAAATGCAAAAATAAATATTCTGAGTGATATTACTTGGATGGAATAATATTTTTAAGTTGAACATGCTAGCAGAAATACACTGGCTTTCTAATACCATACTCATTTCTCTTATTTTCGTAAATGCCACAAGAGTGCTAATGGATTTTCTATATGTATCATGTTATTATTTGCTGGTCCAACTCCCCATATGTGTTCTAAAAGCCTGTTTTCTACTTTTATGTGGGGTTACTATAAACGCATTTCCAAGTTAAAAAACCTCACACCACCCCTACGCAGCCTTGCTAACCCACCAGTACTGGAGGACCAGCATGGCTCCCCCCCACCCACCCCCAACACACACACAGCCTCACTTCCCCACCTGTACTGCAAGGCCAGCCTCAGCGCAGTGGCATTGGATTCATACTTCCCCACCAGCATGCTCATCCGCTCAGCGTTGCTCTTGCATTCTTCCAGAGTTATGGTCAGGAGGTCATTTTGGGATTTGAGGTGTTCAATGCGGCTACAAAGGAAGAAAAATCTCTTTCATGATTTCACGTTGGGATTACAATTCATTTGCCAGTATTTGAATTGTCTCCTGTGGATCCAGGCCAGATACGCGTGTTAGGATGTGAGCTTGTCAGAGGTTTTAGCAAATGGAACTGACATGAAGTATTAAAGAAAGCAACTCTAAGTATAAGAATCACTAAATTCTGTGTGAATTAGAAATACACGGAAGTCCCCTGGTTATTTCCTAATCAGCCATCAACACACCGTGTGCCAGGTACAGTGTGAGGCTCCGAGCATACACCAAGGAAAGGAGCCAACCGCGTGACCTTGGGCCTTTCAATAAACCACCCTCCACAGGGACAAACAAAATATCAGTGCCACAGTAATAGCTACTATTTGTTAAATCCCTGCTCAGTGACCCTCTAATGGCCATTTGACTTAGGTATTATTATCCCCATTCTCAGAGGAGGAAGTAGAGTCCCAGAGGGGTAAAGGACATTGCAGTGGGATTTGAACCAAGAAGTTTGACCGCAGATCCTGTACTCTTTACCACTCACTACAGGGCAGACGCAAAAGATGAATCAGGTAGTAAGAAACTGTCCCTAGGGGCCTCTGAATGGGCAGTGGGCCAGGAAGCATGGGCTGTGTCCAAAGCTCCTTCCACGTTGGACAGTCCTGCAACCGTTAACTACCGGTAAGGCAAGCAGCAGGAATTTTATGCTTTATAGGAATTGGAACTATACATTCAGAGCAAATGAGTTAATGGAAAAATCAGAAAAACATAAGCATTCAACTTCCCTGTTTTCTGTCCTAGGACAGAAGCTCTGGGTGCAATGATTCATTTCCCATCAACATACCCATTTATAGTACTCTGACCATCAAGTCTTCAAGACACAGGGTTTCACACATAGAAAATAAATGCAAGTGACTCTTGAAACAGTAAGAGGGTTGGAAGCCATTTGCCTTGTGGATCAATCTTAGGACCACATATCTTCGAGAAGAATGTGGACACACTCACCAACATAGGAGATGGCTGGTGTAAGACCACTGTGAGACTTTGGCAACTTGAAGGTCAACTCAATGTAAGGTGCCACAAGAACGTACTTTTCTGTTCTTGTTGACATTAAGACTTCTTGAGACAGTCCCCACTTTCCTTTACACTCCACCTTGTTCCAATGTACATTTGGACCCCACTAATTAGATGAAACTCTTTAGCCAACTCACAAACCTACATGTGACCAATCCCCATCTCAGGGCCCTTCTCAGGCAACACCCCACTTAATAGGCTACTCCTGCCTTCTCAGAATGTTCTCTCTCACTTAGGTCATGACAGGTTTCTATTGGTTTTCTTCCTGCCTTGAAGGACATTTCTTCTGTCTTCTTTGCTGGCTCCTTATCCTCTATGAAATCTCTAAGGGTTGGTATTACCTCAGGACTCAGTCCTGGGTGCCCTTCTGTATCAGCACCCCCACCCCATCTCAGGACCATTTTATCCAGTACTATGACTTGAACAGACGTTTATGTTTCTATGGCTCCCAAATTTCTCTAGCCCAGACCTCTCTTCTGAGTGCTGGTCTCACATCTCCAGCTATTTCCTGATACTTCCATTTGAGTGTCACACCAGCACCTTAAATTTAATATTACCAAATGAGACTCCTGATTCCCCCCAACCTGGCCTTCCCCCATCTTCTTCATTCAGTAAATGCCACCACCATCTTCCCAATGATACAGGTGAGACACATGAGAAGCTTCTTGAGACCATCCCTTCCTCTTATATCCAAATCTACCCCAACTACAGTTTCCATTGATTCTACACTACCAAACACACTGACCCCCATCACTTTGCATCATCTCCACTTTGGCCGCACTGGGCCACTGCAATCATTGCTCGGCTTCCACTCTTGCCCCACCCACTTCCAATCTTCACACCTGAGTCACCAAAGTCTAGACACCAAAGATTTAGACACCAAAGTCTAAATCATGTCTGTTCTTTTGCTACTTAAAACTCTTTAGTGACTTCCACTGACACTTAGAATAAAGAGTGGACTTGGTCCATGGCCTCAAAATCCATATCCCACTAAGCCTTGCTGATTCTGCCACCTTATTGCATGTGACTCCTTGCATCCACTCCATCTCAGTTCCATTGGCCTTCGGACAGCTCCTACTTCCTTTCCGGCTGTAAGGTTAAGTTGGTCCATAAGACTCTTAGTTTGTCATACGGCTGCTTCCTTTTTCTCTTAAATTCTCAATTTACAGCCCCATCTTCAGAGAAGCCTTCTCCGGCTACATATCTAAAATCAAACGCTTCCCCTCTTACTCTATCACAGTGCCCTGTTTACTGGGAATTTTCTTATGATCTCATTTGTTTGCTTCTTATATAGCTTCCCTAACAGAATATAAACTCCATGAGAGCAGACACCTTGTCTCTTTTACTTTTCCCTGCATGACAAACAGCTTAGCACAGAGTAGATGCTTAAAACAGATTTGTTAAATAAGGACATACTTCTGAGGAGGCATGACCCTCCCCCCCCAACCACACACAATCACAAAGCTAAACGCTTTCATTTTTCGGGGTGTAATAGGGTCTCCAACCTTGAGATAGGCAGTTTAATAACAGGCATGAAGACATACTGGTAGATTATTTCTAAGATTATTCCTGTGTTCTAGCTATAGCTATGGTCGTAGAGAGGACACTGGAGGGGAAGTCCAAGGGCAAGGGTAGAATTCCAGCTAGGCTATTTAAGAGCTCTGGACTCAAGGCAAGTCACTCAACACCGAAGACTTTTTTTTTTCTTATTTGCAAAATGGGACTATTCTTTCCTCCCAAGTTGAAGATTAAGCGGTTGTCTGTGAGATCCCTTTGTAAACTGTTTAACACTGTAATAACGTGAACTACAAGCCCCAAATATTTCCCCTTCCTTTGGTGTCTCCTAGGTGCGCAGAACTGAGGAGAAAGGAACGTCCCCCGAGTTCAACCACAAAGCAGGCTTGTTAAATCCCAGAATCTGTGAAGAGATCCTCACTCGACAGAGGGTCCCTGAAGGCATCTGACTTCATTAAATTGCAAAGGGCATATCTGATTCAGTTCTCAAGCACTCTCTGGCTGTGGTACTGAGATGGCTGCTGCTTTACTGCTATAAGGTAGTCATCAGGATTGTCATTCTTAAGCATTTTGGATTTAATAAGGAAACCATTTAATTTCCCGATTTGAAATAACCTAGATTGCCTCATTTCCTTAGTCCTCAAGCACTATATTAAACAGCTTCGAATCAGGGAGGACTAACATGATAATTCAATTTATTTAGGTTTGCCAGACACAAGGGGAATGGCATTAAGCAATGGTGGATGGATACCGGCATCCACATTTCTTTCTGGTTAGTTCATAAGCCTTTCAAATTCTTACTATGGACTCCCACTGAAGACTGGTAGGTCAAGGCAGCCTTACCACACTTGGATATGATTTAGCAGTGCACTCTGTCCCTGCGGGACACATTCTGAGTCAGGGTGGTTTAGCATGGTTTGGCCTCGGTCCTTTTCCTTTGCTTTTTCAGCAACTCTCATTGCTAGGATGACCTAGAAGCCAATCTTTGCCGAGAAGCTTGAGTGCAAACTTTAACTACCTCTTTTGTGAGATTGGAGAAGAATCCATAAAAGTGGTAAAAATTTCTAAGTAGGACAGTTTGACCTACTTAGAAAATTATTCTCGGTAGGCTTAAGTATGATAGCATGTAGGGACTGAGGGTTGTGTACACTGCAAAGAGCATAAATAAAATTAGGCAGCCCTCTAGAGAAGTAGGGAGGGCTAAACTAGCATCCCTGGTCAATCCCAGAATGCCTCCATCAGACCGCCTTTGCTAGTTCCTGGTCACTCCAGGCGCCCCTTGGATGCTGACTCAACATTCCAGAGCTTCTCCTTGTGGTTCCTGGCAGCCCAGGCCTGCACGCTAAGTAGCCATCTTGTAATTCTGACCTACTTGTCATTCTATACAACTGCTCCCAGGACTTGCTACATAATTTGCAAGGGCCAGTGCTCAATAAAAAGGTGGGGCCCTGGCTCATCAATTACTAAGACTTTAAAATGGTGACAGTAGAGCAGCCAAGCCAAGAGTGGGTCCTCTCAAACATGAGGCTTGCACATTTGAAAACGCAGGTCACGCGGGGGGAGGGGGGGATGGGCATGAAGGAGGGCACTTTGGGGATGAGCACTGAGTGTTATGTAGAAACTAATTTGACAATAAACTATTTGTAAAAAAAAAAAAAAGAAAACGCAGGTCACGCAACGCCCTTGAAGACAGTCCCAACTGCCCTAAGCACTCCTCTGATGAACAAGAAAGTGGGAACTCCCCACCCACCAGCCTGACAGCATCTCTCTCTGTCACAATTCATAAGCCAACTTGAATCGATTTTTGAAAGGGAAAGGAGGGCTGTTCCCCACTCCCCCCACCCCACCCTAAAGCAACCTCTCAAATATATAGGATTTCTCCTTACCTATTCAACCGTTCTGTTTCCACCTCAAACTCTCTAATTTTGCTTTCCGAGATGGCAGATCCATGTGAGTACAGCGTTTGGAAGATCTCCTGGATGTTGGAGCAGTCCTGGAGAGAGTGGGCCAGGTGTTCCGCCACACTGCTGGATACCTGTACAGGTGAGCACACACACTTCCCTCTAGACACTGTGGCTTCGGGGACCAGTCTCCAGGCATGTTTTGCATGCAAAAGAATTTAAAGCTGATATCTCCTGACAATCAGGCACCAGGAGATGGATACCCTGATCTTTCTCAGTTTATATAATACGATTCTGTGATAAAAAGCGAACTGCTATGAAAACAGTACATAAACAGAATCAAAATACAGCTGTATCCTCCACACAGCGTGCCGCTTCAGAGTTCCTAAACTTTGGGATACTGACAGGGTCCCAACTCCTTTCCCCTTCCTGAGCTCCCTGTCCTTCCAGGTCCTTGTCTCTGGTCACTGCAGCCCAACGGAACAGCCATTTCCTTTAGTTCCACAGGTTAGCTTAGGTACCGAATCTGGATGTACACAGTTGTTCTCAGTGCAAAATTCTAAATTCGGGCCTTAAAAACATCCTATTCGGGCTTTCTCCACCCTTGAGATCAGAGAGCTGGCTCTCTCAGGCTCACCACCCATCTTAAAAAATATTCCTTAGGGAACTCAAACTACTCCCTTTTCACCATCCATCAGCTCTTACAGCCCCAAGGGGTCTGTAGGCTCTCCAGATGAAAACCGTGATACTAAGCGGGAAGGTTCCAGTCTTTCCTGGCATTGGGCTACCCTTCAAAGGCAGAACTCCTCCTCCCTGGAGAGCACATTCCCTTTTAAGAGGCATGTGCAAAAGGTAAAATTTATTTTACAGCTTCCTGACCCACTTGGTCTCTGGGGTAGCAGGGTGAAATAAAGCAGGTACTTCATGACTTTCATCTACATCAACAGTAACGAGACCTAAATCATTTCTTTCTGAAAGGTTTCAAGCAGAGTAAAAGAAAAATTCCCTTAAAGCCGAACGAGTAATTCCCTGATGAAGAAACCATTCTACATTTTAATCTGATCCTCTGGAAGGAAATGGGGTATGATTTATTATTATAATAATTAACTGGTTCATGGGAGGTGAACTTGAGAAGTTCTGTCGTCTATGAGCTGTGGTCTGTGCAGCTCTACTGGGTACTTTCTTGCCTTGCTTCTTATGAACACTCACCCCTATGCTGCTGATTTCTGATCCCAGGACTGGCCGATCAGATGATGAAGACTCGGACCTGGTCTTCGATAGCTTCACCCTCTCCGCAATCTTGAAAAACAAAAAAATTATCAAAAAATGACATACCATTCTCTAGACACACTGTTGAGACTGTGTATCTACAAGGCTCCTGTTTGACCATGGCAACTAAACTGATCAACGAATTTCTTAAGAATAACTTGTCCAATTTTTCACCATCTGCTTAACCCAGGGTTTTCCAGCCTTAGCAGTAGTGACATTTTGGGTTGGATATTCTTTGTTGTAGAAGAATTCTGAGTGCTGTAGGACACTTAGCGGCATCGCTGGCTTCTATAGCCACAAGATGCCTCCGGTACTCTAATTGTGACCATCAGAAAGGTCTCCAGACACTGTCAAATATCCCTTGAAGGGACACAATCACTTCTGGTTGAGAAACACTGGTGTGACCCAGCTTATTCGACTTGATGGTTGATAACCAACCTTCTGGCAGAGACTGGTAGACTACCAGGGAAGAGTGCATGTTTCATCTCACCAGTCCCTCTGGGGAAGACTCAACATATGAGCAGATGTGGGGCTGCTTCTCTAACTGCCATGGCGTGCCCAGCAGCATCTATTGGTCTGCAGGCAGGGCTGCTGGTCCTGTGAGAAGGGAGATCATTGATTCATTACTCAGGGTCCCCTCCTGGGCTGAATCTCAGTCCTCAGGAGCAACTATCCATCCACCCCTGACTATTGTAGAACCTGACAAAACATCTCACTTTCCACAACAACTTGACAGCCATGACCTGCTCCTGCTAGCTGATTAATGAGAGTTGGCATCCAGGTCACAGCCGAGAGAAACTTAAAAACTACCCTTGGGTTATGTCACCCTGCGGCCCCAGCACATGAGGCCTGTGTGAGATGCTAGGGAAGAGCCCCTTGGGGGCCCTGTGCGCTAATCATATGCCTACACAGTGGCCATGCTTGAGAGAGGCTGGTGCTTACAGGAAAAAAGAGGTGGTGTTCCCGCCTGCCCCTAGAGCTCACCTTGGCAATGGGAATGTCATTGCTGCTGCTGCTCGTGCTCAACTCCCCGGTGCTGGGGTTAACTGGGCGGTTGGTGGAAGTGAGGCGGCCAGGGCTGGCGGGCCCTGTGGCCTGCACGCTCTGTAGTCGCGTTTGAAGCTCTCGAACCTGAAATAATAATGCCTTTAGATACAGACTATAGTTTTCCCCTGGCCAAAGAGCAAAATAGCCAGATGGGTGGGTGGCTGTTTTCATTCACATTAAGAGATCAGTTTCACTGAAAAGCTAACTTGGTTGAGTCCACATAAACGTCTGCCATATTCTTAACTAGACCTGCTACTGGCTGGCCATCATCTGTTCTTCACAAATATGATGTAAAAATGTGTCCATAGGCTCTGGAAGCTTCCAGCAGAGGTGGAAGGACCATCTTTAAGGTATCTTTATTCACTGAACCTCATGAGCCTGAATGTCTTGGGCACTGCAGATAGAGAACCCGGGGTGAAATCACCACAGTCATGGAACTGAAAGCTCAGAGGGGGAGAGAATAATTTCAGTGCAAGTACACATTAATGTTATAAACATCCACCTAAGGTGCCGTAGGAAGCAAAAAAGGGGAAGAATGTGCCTCCATCTGAAATCAGCAGGGAAGGAGAGGGTCATGCTGGAACAGTCGTATAGGTGACCCGGTCGCAACAGACGACAGTAGGGGCGGGCTCTGGTGGTGCTATGGGTGAGCTGAAGTAAATCTGGGAGGACAGCGTGCACAGGAGCACAGGCAGCAGGGTAACACCCTAGGCCTGAAGAACTGCGTGTAGGGGAGCCGCATACACAGGCACGGAGGGGAGGCTAAGGGGAAGACACAGATGCACCTGAGCTTTTCCCCAAGAGACGCCAAGAAGGGCTTATCCTGGGGATAGTGGAGTCTCTCAACAGTCTTTCTGTAGACAAGAGAAACACAAGGCCCCTTGAATTGTATTTAGAACACACATTTACCTGCACAGAATTTAAATGTTCAAACTCCCTTCTCTAGGACTATGGGCTCAGTGATTTCCAAAGTGAGAAGTGTTCCAAGTAAGTGAAGGTAATTGTTCGAAATTGGTCTTCCTGATGACCTGGATCACAGCTCTATCATCAGGTACCATGTCTACCTTGAAGGGTAAATGGACTACAGCACCCGCGGAGCCTTCCAAATGGGCACCAGCTCCTGCTGGGAAGAATCAGCACTGGAACATCTAAGGCAGTGCTTTGCAAACCTGTCAGTGCACCAGAATGTCAGCAGGCTTGTTAAAACACAGAGCACAGGGCCGCACCCCTAGGGATTCTGATTTAGTACGTGGAATCTGCATATCAACTAGGCTCCCAGGACCCACAAATGCCCCCAGTTGGGGGCTCACACCCTTATTCTTAAGGGATTCTCAGGGCCATACAGCATCTCAGCCACATCCCTGACACCAAACTCTTTTCTAAAAGCAACTGGAAAGCTTTCTGTATTAAATATCTTGGATGTCTCCATCCTGCTAAATTGGGAACCAAAAAGTAATTGAAATTTCAATAATTCATCAACATATTAGAAGCCAAAATTGGAAAATTCCCTCAGAGCAAATTGCATTCAATAGTGTAACAGCTACAAAGTGCCTAATGCTTTGCCGCAGCTTCCAGCAACTGTGGGTTGATGGAAATGTGGGTTCCTCAGAGTACGCCAGACACAGAGCTGACCTCAAAATAGTTTAAAGACTAGAAAAACACATGCTTGTTAAAGCCAAATAGTATTGCTGGGGGGAGATGACAGGGCTCATTCTGGACTGGTCCCCAACAAATCTAGAAGAGGCACAGCACAGATGCCTCCTTACGCTGCATGGCAAAGGGAGAGGGCCCACTTTCCCGGCAGGCTGGCTTCCTGGCACCTGGGAAAACTCCCTGGTGGAGACTATGGATTTCAATTACTTATTGCTGTGTAAGTCTGATGAGGTCTTGAATAATTAACAATGTTAACACCACTCCAAAATCTAAAGAGTATCTGAATCATTCACAAAGCAATCAATGGTCTGTTCCCAGAATGCCAATTGGCCCACCTCATCTTACTTTTAAAAAATATATATAAGGGGCAGGCACCTGAATGCCTCAGTTGGTTAAGCCTCTCACGCTTGATTTCAGCTCAGGTCATGATCCCATGGCTGTTGGGATCGAGCCCCACATTGGGCTCTACACTGAGCATGGAGCCTGCTTGGTCTCTCTCTTTCTCTCTCTGCCCCTTCCTCTCTCACCCTCTTGCTCTCTCTATATATATACATACATACACACAGACACAAATATATTTATAAATATATCAATTGTCCTGGGCAATTTAAAAGAACTTCATTAAAACTACCTAGTTTATTGGGGCGCCTGGGTGGCTCAGTCAGTTAAGCATCCAACTTCAGCTCAGGTCACAATCTCATGGTTCGTGAGTTTGAGCCCTGTGTTGGGCTCTCTGCTGTCACACTTTGGATTCTCTGGTCTCCTTCTCTCTTTGCCCCTCCCCTCTGTGTACATGTACATGTGCATGCCCTCTTTCTTTCAAAAATAAACAAACATTAAAAAACCTGCCCAGAGGGGCGCCTGGGTGGCTTAGTCGGTTAAGCGTCCGACTTTCGCTTAGGTCATGATCTCGTGGTTCGTGGGTTCGGGCCCCGCATCGGACTCTGTGCTGACTGCCAGCTCAGAGCCTGGAGCCTGTTTCAGTCTGTGACTCCCTCTCTCTCTGACCCTCCCCTGCTCACGCTGTCTCTCTCTATCTCTCCTAGAAATAAATAAAAACATTTTAAAAAATTAAAAAAAAAAAAAAACCTGCCCAGGTTATTACAAAAAAGTTTCTTCTTCTAATCACTAAAGTAAAGCATGCCCATTGCGGAAAATTTAGATGGCAATGAAAAATAAAAAGCGAAAACATTCTTTCTTACTGTGTTTTCATGGCTTGTTTGTGCACAGGCATGCATGCTTAAAATCATTTCTAAATCTAAATATCCATTTTTATTTAAAAAGTTTTAGACCTAGAGAATGTCCTTGAAAACTACAGAATGATAAACATGTTTATTTTTGGTCTACGCTTTATCATTTGATGATAATTGTTACGCAGTGAAAAAAAATCCAGCTGAAGGGAGTGAAGTGAGCTTGTTGTGACAGACAGCTGGGTGGATTAAACAGCCTTCTCTCTTTTATTTATTTGGGGGTAGGGCTTCATTAATTTAAATGAATAAATGCACAGAAATGAAGGCTACAACCAATTTGCTGATTCAGCGTAAGTGAGGCTTGAGAGAGGGGAGAGAGCTCTGTCCTCATTTCTATTCTCACCCACTATAGCACAGTGCGTCATGTATACACGTCCACCCCCAAAAGACAAGTCCAAGTTCTAAACGCACAGCACTGGGGCATTTGGGTGGCTTAGTCGGTTGAGAGTCTGACTCTTGGTTTGGCTCAAGTCATAACCTGAAGGTTTCTGAGTTTAAGCCCCATATCAGGCTCTGCACTGACAATGCAGAACCTCTTTGGCATTCTCTCTCCCTCTCTCTCTGACCTTCCTCCGCTCTTTCTCAAAATAAAAAGTAAACTTAAAAAAAAAAATTCTTTAAAAAATAAAAATAACCTTCCAGTACCTGTGAATGTAACCTCATTTTGGAATATGGTCTTTGTAGATGTAATTAAATTAAGAATCTCAGGATGAGATCATCCTAGATTTACAGTGGGCCCTAAATCTAATGACTGGTATCCTTATAAGTAAAAGGAGAGGGAAACTTAAGACACAGAGGTACATGGGGAACCTGGCTGACTCCATTGGTTGATCATACAACTCTTGGTCTTGGGGTTGTAAGTTCAAACCCCGTTGACGTGTAGAAATTACTTAGGTGCGGGGAAAAACAGACACAGCGACACAAAGAAGACCAAATAAAGACAGAGGCAGGGACTGGCCTCGAGTCAACTCCAAGACCTACCAGAAGCTGGAAAGGCAAAAAAGGATTCTGCTCCAGAGCCCTTAGAGGAAGCAAGGCCCTGCCTATACCACGACTGTGTGGACTCCAGAACTGTGAGAAAATAAACTTGTTTTTCTAAGCCACTGAGCATGGGGAGTAATTAGCTAATATACCCATCTTTCACTGAAAATAGTTTATTCAAGGAAATAGGTTTGTCTCTACAAAATATGTGGTTCAGAGCCAGGGGGTAGCCAGGAATTACGGCTACCCTAGATGAGAAATCGATACTTGCAGGAAAGCCATTCACCACCTTTCCCAACCTTTCTCCATGGGAGTTCTTCAGCAACAGAACACAGAAAATGGTTTGAATGGCCATTTCTCAGTTCTCCTCCAGTAAGCACGTAGTCAGTACTCATCTAGATGCCCGGAAAAGAAATCAACCTGATGCATATACTGGAAACACTGTAGAGCATGAAGCTTAAGATTCTTGTCTTTTAGGGGCTTGGAGTCTAGCCGAATATTACAATGTGGAGGTGCTCTGAAAGGGGCACCAACAAGGAGCTTCACAGTATAAAAGAAACATCGCCTCAGTCTTGCCAGACTAGGAAACACTGGGATTCAATTTTGAAGGTCAAGTAGTTGTTTGAGGCTCCTGGGTGTCTCAGTCAGTTAAACGTCTGACTCACTTTTGGCTCAGGTCATGATCCTGCAGTTTTGTGAGTTCAAGCCCTGCCTCAGGCTCTGCACAGGTAGCAGGGATTTTTCTCTCTCCCTCCCTCTCTGCCCCTTCCCCACTCAAGCATCTCTGTCTCTCTCAAAATAAATAAACTTTAAAAAGTCAAGTAGTTGTTCCACAAGCAAATAGAAAAAGGCCACAAGGGCAGGGTGGAGTAGGGTGGGGAGGACTCTGAAAGGTTCAAGTAAGGAACTGACATTAAAATGCCAGAATTCTTCATTTCTCATTTACACTTGAATGACTCCCACAGGGAATAAAGGGTCTTATAAAAAATCATTTGAATACAAAAGAGAATGAGGGGTGCTTGGTGGCTCAGTCGGAAAGCATTTGGCTCTTGATATGGGCTCAGGTCGTGATCTCAAGGTCATGAGACAGAAACCTGCATCTGGCTCCACAGTGAGCATGGAGCCAACTTGGGATTCTCTCTCTCTCTCCTCGCTCTCTCCTTCTTCCCCACTAACAAGCATGCACATTCTCTCTCCCTC